ACAAGCTGTCTCAGAGGTAAGGAATCTGCTCCAGCAGAGGTCTGGGCCACCATTAATCTCCTTCCTCTTTATGGTCCCGCCGAGTCTCCCAAGGCCACCATTAACCCCTTATCTCCACGGTTCCTCTGGGCGTCAGTCCCAGGGCTTTTAGAAAACTGCTCAGGTGTTTACCTGCAGGAATCTGGTCAGAATGGAGTTTAATTTTGTTAGAACATTATTAACCCTTTCAGCAACATCCTTTTCCTCTGTCCCAAATTTGTTCCCCCCAAATTCTAATCCCCAGGACCTCGGCGAGACCTTTTTAGCGGTAATGAAGTTAAATTGCGGTCACGGGGTGGAACCTAAACCAATACACCCGGTGCCCCACCAGGAGAGGGATGTGGACGCGAACCTGAACAGTGTGGAGACGGTGTGAGGACACGGACAAGAGGGCTCTCCCCACACCGAGGAGCGAGACCTGGAGCAGCCCTCTCCTCGTGGCCACCAGGAGAAGCCAACCCTGCTGACCCTTCACCTCGGCCCCTGCCCCGGGACTGTGAGAGAAGGCATCTCTGCTGTCTGGGTGTCTGGTCTGCTGTCTGGTTAAGCAGCCCCAGCAGCCTGACCCACTCCCTCCCTAATGTAGCCTCAACCTGCAGTGGCAGGTAGGCCACTGGGAACCGGAAGTGATGTCTCATCCCACCACATTTTATAAGAGGGCCATTCATCTAATCAAACAATAAAACACTGATGCCTGGTAAAAAGGAAAAGAACTACCCGGCCGGTGTGGCTCAGTGGTTGAGCGTCGACCCTGCACCAGGAGGTCACGGGTTCGATTCCCAGTCACGACACATGCCCAGGTGGTGGGCCCGATCCCCAGTGGGGGGCATGCAGGAGGCAGCCAATTGATGTTCTCTCTCATTGATGTTTCTATCTCTCTCTTGCTCTCCCTTCCCCTCTCTCTAAAATCAATAAAGAAAAAAAAATTTTTTTTTAAAGAAGAACTGCCAGAAAGGAAAAGGAAACACTAGTGCTTAATGGTGTCAGACTGGAGTCTGGGCCTTTGGGGAATGACCTGTTGCTTTATGATATAGGACTCTATGCACATTTCATGGTTTTAATCATTTGCATATGTCACTTTGATTAAAATGAGATAAATGGAGATGGGTAATTAGAAAGAAAAAATAAACCAATGGGCAATTCAATCACATTTAATTCAAATGAACGATAAAGCTTTGTTTAATCCTCTACTTAGGAACATTCTCGGGCAGGCCTGGTTCTGAAGGCAGTTCAGATAGCCCGAGCAGAGACTGCGGCTCTTAAGCCAAAGCCCTGCCGAGCTAGAGAGCTGCCCCGAGGAATTACCCAGAACGAAATCCTGATTAAGCCACTAATTGGCTTGTCTGCTAACGAAAAGCAAAACAGTACATTTCTCTACCTTGAGACACAGGGTTAGAAAAATAGAGGTATTCAGAACCACATCTGAGAAGATGTTCAAGTCGCTGGCAGTAAAGTTCAACAAGGTGCAGCCCAGAGGAGGGGACGAGGAGAAGAAACAAGGTCCCCGCAGCCAGCCCCGCGGCCAGCCCCAGCGGCCCCGGACACAGGTACGCCCCTTACACTCCTGGTCAGCCTGGTCCCCAGTGCTTCTCGTCAGGTGATGGATTCTGACTGTGACACACAGGACTGCTTCACCCTTCACCCACCACTATCCAGGTCACGTACTGTTTGTCTTTAGGATGTACTCCCATTATTCTGTGCTCAGTGTATCTATTTGCTTTACAACAGAATAGTCAATGTTTAGAAGACTCTATTGGGATTTGATTTTCAGGTCTGCCGCCATCCAAACTGAAAGCATTTCTTTCCTATTAAATTGGCTATATTCTTTAGTTCCGACAAAGAACATCAAGCACCTTGGTCCTACGAAACTACAAGTTCACAGTGATTTCTCCTTTGCCACTTGGAACAATGGGCAGTGTCTGAGGTGGTTGTCACAGCTTAGGTGGAGGTGTTGCTGGCATTCAGTGGGCCAAGGCTAGGGACGCTGCTGAACTTCTAGGATGCACAGGACGGCCCTTCACCACACGAAGTACTCAGTTCGAAAGGTCAGCACTGCCGGGGGGGGGGGGGGGCCTGCCCTAGACAAGCTGGTTGTAAATCCTAAGTCTGCTCATTTGTAAAATGAAGAGATGCAGCTCTGAAGCTTCGTTGTGCAAACTATAGGTGTGGACACAGAGTCGACCATAGGGACTTCCCGGTGGCGATTGTCACTATCACCATTACTATTGATCTATTGTGTTTATATGACAGAGTTAAGCCCAAAGTGATCATGAGATGATCAATATTTACTTACAACTGTCTATAAAACATTTTTACGATTACTCACTAGATTTACCTAAAAGAGCCACATAGGTTTCTGGAACGATCCTTATTTTTCCATCGGAGAGAAGTGGCTGAAAGAGTCAAGTACAAGCCCTGGCTGGTTTGGCTCAGCGGTTAGAGCGTCGGCCTGCGGTCCAGAGAGACCTGGGATCGGTTCCCACTAAGGGCATGTACCTCGGTTGCAGTTTGTCCCCGGCCCTGGTTGGGTCGTGCGGGTGGCAACCACTCAATGTGTCCCTTTCACGTTGATGTTTCTCTCTCTCTCTTCCTCTCTCTCCCTCCCACTCTGTCTGAACAAAAAATGGAAAAATGTCCTCAGGTGAGGATAAAAAAAAAATAACAATAACAACAATAATAATAATAAAAGAGTCGAGTACAAGCAGGGGCTGCAGCAGGACCGGCGTGTCCAGGTCGAATGGCTCGGGTTTAGGAGACTGCAGTGTGGACAACACCAAGCTGACTGGACACTGGCCTTTGGGCTTCCTGTAGTGAATGCCGACTGTGCTTTGGAAAGGACACGTAGAGTGTGTGTTTAGCCTGGCTTCTTGAGAGTGCTGGACTTCCTCCTAATCCCACGCTCTAAAAGTATGTATGTGTCTAAGAGCTCACAGGAAATCACAGGTGTGGAGCTGGGCACGTCCCTCCAGCTCTCCTGCGCGCTAGCCCCGGGATGCCGTACTGGCCTGTGCTGACTGCTTTCCCGCAGAGCAGCGGTAACAGCAGCGCCCTCTGTCGGGCGACGGAAGAGCAGACAGCAGCGGCTGTGCCAGCAGGCGCACTGTGGTATCGCATCCTCCCCATAACCGAGGGTCCTGTTGGGATGTGCTCCTCACACAGCAGCAGCAGCAGGTTGCAGAGCCTGGGCAGGACCTTTCTGTGGGAGGCAGCACCTGAGGTCGGAGCTCGGGGCTGTGCGGTTCCGAACACGAGGAGTTTGGCGAGGAACCAGCCTCTCCAAATGCTGTGCTCATGGGTGAAGCACGTTAGAGAGGAGGCAGAACGAGCATGAACTTTCTATAGAGTTGTCTGTCCTTAGGAACAGCAGTCCTAGGGCACACTTGGACCAGACACAAGGGGCCACTCCCAGGTGGGCCCCCTGCCATCGCGGCCACGGCAGACGGTGCCAGTCACGCTCACCTGGATTCCTGTTGGAGGGACCATGTGCCTCTATTCCTCTCGGCAACGTGTGGAAGAATGGTTTCTCCGCGGTCGCACATGTGTTCCATGTGAACAGAGACAGGCAGTGAAACCCTATTTTCCTCCACAGAAAGTGGCCTTTCAGGCATTGACAAGCACACTCCTGAAGTCCAGACAGATGGGTCGAGGCCTGTAAGAAAGTATCTAGGAATGAGTACATCAGTTTACATTGTACTTGTTTAAAATGTCGTTTAAATACTTACTTCTCAAACCAAAATGTCTTAGGAAATTTAAGTTTACCGACAACAGGTAAGTCAAGAACTGGGAACTCAGGCTAATGGAGACTCTGCCCCAGAACACACAGTGCTCCCACGACATTCACTTGTCCACTCCTGAAGACGTGAGAAATGCTTGTGAGTGAAGCCATAACGTGACCTCACTGAAGCCAGAGGTCTCTAGTCTGTAACATATCCAGGGATCTCCACCTCCCTAGCCACTTAATTTCCTACTCAGTAGCAGAAACAAGCAGAGCTGCCTTGCCTAGCACACATGCTTACGGAGAGGCTGCATGAAACCATGGGGCTGATTTGCTTTCCAGTTGGAAGTGTTTCTGACACCGCATCTGTACAGAGTCAGACCCCACGGCGAGGCTCACAGGACCTGGGTGCTGGACCTTGCCTGCTTCTCTGTTCTCCCCTCCCCACTCCTTCCTGTTCATCCTCCAGTGTGTATGATGACGCCTTGGGGCTCTGCTAACTAGGCCTCTGCCGCCTGGACGATTTTCTGTGCCTCGTCCCGCTGCCAAACAAAAATCGCACGTTCTTGGTAGAAGCAAGAATCACTCCCTTTTCAAGAGTGCGCATCACTTGCTTTCCTTCTCCTGCAGGAGAAGCCAGCGCTCCACGCTACCACCTCTGTCCTGCGCAAACCTGTCTCAGCGCCTGTCCCTTGTTGCAATTCCACGCTTGTGTGTGTTCCTTACCACACTGCGAGCTGCTCGGGAGCCACTTTCCACGTGCCACGGGAACATTCTCGGGTGCAAGCTGTGACACATTGCAGGGGGAGCTCAGACGGTGGGACAGACACGAGGGGGAGGCTCACAAGATCGAGCTGAGAAGAAAGAGCAGAGCATCCAGTAAAGGCACGAATCTGCTCTCTCCTCGCCATTATCTTAGGTTTACACCATAAAGGCCTGGCCCAGGACCCGCCTCGGGCTGTGAGATGTGAGGACCAGAATGGGGAGGAAGGTGTGCGCGGGACAGGTGGCAGCCACCTGAGAGGACAGAGCGAGCGGCGGCCAGCCCGTGGGGAAGCGAGGCTGATCACTGACTCAAGTGCAGATCCGTGCTTTCTGGTGTATCACACACAGAGGATCAACTCTGACGACTGGCTGGATACTGGGATGAAAAACAGCATTATATTTTATTTCTATGTGACTTAGTCATGTACAATCTCTACTTTGCTTCTTCAAGGGAGAAAACAGTGGAAGGACGTCTAGGAAAACCTGCATGACTCCAGGGCCCTGTGAAGAGGCGCATGCGCACCCCCAAGGTCAGAGCCCAGACCCTCAGGGAAGAGCTAGAAGGTGACAAGATATTTCCCCGAGCTGTGTTGCCTGATACAGGGTCACGCCTGAGCCTGTTTGAGGTCTGAATGTTCACAGAAACATTATTTCTTCATTCAGTCACTGATTCCATAGATGCGTTTTTTTTTGGTAATTTATTTATTTTTGTTACAGATGTTTCTCCTTTACCCCCACTGATTCTCCCCTCCCCAGCCCTCCTCACCCTGTCCTCAGCTTTGTTGTCCATGTGCATTGTTCATGCATACATGCATATCAGTTCTGTGGTTTATCTCTCCCCCACCACCCCCTCTTCTGGGGACTGTCAGACTGTACTCACTTCCACATCTCTGAGATTACCCCATTCCTCAGTCTGTTATGTTCATTATATTCCACAAATAATTGAGATCATATGAAACTTGTCTTTCTCTATTTGGCTTGTTTCGCTTAGGATGATACTTTTCAGGTACCTCCATACTGTATCAAAGGATAAAAGATCTTTTGTTCTGACAGCTGCATAGTATTTCACTGTGTATATGTACCACTGCTTTTTTATCCATTCGTTGCCTGATGGACACTGGGGCTGTTTCCAGATCTTAGCTATTGTAAATAGTGCTGCTACAAGCATGGGGGTACATATATTCTTTCTGATTGGTGTTTCAGGCTTCTTAGGGTATATTCCTAGAAGTGGAATCATTAGATCAAATGAAAGTTCAATTTTTAATTTTTTGAGGTAACACCATATTGTTTTCCATAGTGGCTGCACCATCTGCATTCCCACCAGCAGTGTACTAGAGTCCCCTTTTCTCCACACCCTCGCCAACACTTGTTGTTTGATGATTTGTTGATGGCGGCCATTCTGACAGGTGTGAGGTGATACCTCATTGTTGTTTTAATTTGCATCTCTCTGATGATTAGTGATGTTGAGCATTTCTTCATATGTCTCTTAGCCATTTGTATGTCCTGTTTGGAGAGGTGTCTATTTAGTTCCTCTGCACATTTTTAAACTAGGTTCTTTGTTTTTCTTTTGTTGAGTTGTATGAGCACTCTATATATATTGGAAATTAACCCCTTATCTGATGTATCATTGGCAATTATGCTCTCCCATACAGTGGGTTGCCTTTCCATTTTGATGCTTTTGAGTTTGATGTAGTCCCATGTGTTCATTTTCTACTTTGTTTCTGTTGCCTTAGGTGAATGTATCAGTGAAAATTTTGCTGCGTATGATGTCTGAAATTTTGTTGCCTACATTTTCTTCTAGGATTTTTATGGATTCATGACTCACATTTAAGTCTTTTATCCATTTTGAGTTTATTCTTGTGTAGGGTGTAAGTTGGTGGTCTAGTTTCATTTTTTTGCATGTAGCTGTCCAATTTTCCCAACACCATTTATTAAAGAGGCTGTCTTTACTCCACTGTATGCTCTTGCCCCCTTTGTCAAATATTAATTGAGCATATTGTCTTGGGTCCATTTCTGGGTCCTCTATTCTGTTCTATTGATCTATCTGCCTGTTCTTGTGCCAATATCAGGCTGTTTTGATTACAGTGGCTTTGTAGTAAAACCTGAAATCTAGTAATGTGATCCCTCCTACTTTGTTCTTCTTTTTTCAAGATTGCTGTGGCTATTCAAGGTCTTTTTTTGTTTCATCTGAACTTTTGAAATATTTGCTCTAGTTCTGTGAAGTATATTGTTGGTATTTTGATGGGGATTGCATTGAATCTATAGATTGCTTTGGGTAATATGGACATTTTAATGATGTTAATTCTTCCAATCCATGAATAAGGTATGTGCTTCCACTTTTTTATATCTTCCTCTATTTCTTTTTTTCAATGACCTGCAGTTATCTGCAAATAGGTCCTTTATTTCTTTGGTTAAGTTTATTCCTAGGTGTCTTAATATTATTGCTGTAATGGTTAATGGGATTGTTTCTTTAGTTTCACTTTCTGTGAGTTCATCATTGGTGTATAAGAATGCCATCGATTTCTTGACATTAATTTTGTATCCTGCTACTTTGCCCAATTCCTTTATTAAGTCTAGTAAATTTTTGATGGAGTCTTTGGGGTTTTCTATGTATAGTATTATGTCATCTGTGAATAATGACAGTTTCACTTTCTTCTTTTCCATTTGGATCCCTTTTATTTTTTCTTCCTGTCTGATTGCTGTGGCTAAGACTTCCAGTACTATGTTAAATAAGAGTGGCAAAAGTGGGCATCTATGTCTTGTTCCTGTTCTTAAGGGAAATGCTTTTAATGTTTGCCCATTGAGTATGATGTGGGCTGTAGGTCTTTCATATATGGCCTTTATTATGTTGATATATAATCCCTTTATTCCCAGATTATTGAGCATTTTTATCAGAAATGGGTGCTGGATTTTGTCAAATGCATTTTCAGCGTCTATAGATATGATCATATGATTTATATCTTTCATTTTGTTTATGTGGTGTATCACATTTATTGATTTGTGAATATTGTATGAGCCTTGCATCCCTGAGAGGAATCCCACTTGGTCATGGTGAATAATTTTTTGATGTATTGCTGGATTCGATTTGCTAGTATTTTGTTCAGGATTTATGTTCATCAGGGATGTTGGCCTGTAGTTTTCCTTCTTTGTAGTGTCTTTTTCTGGTTTTGGAATTAGAATTATGCTGGCCTCATAAAACAAGTTTGGAAATCTTCCTTCTTCTTGAATTTTTTGAAATAATTAGAGGAGAATGGGTATTAGTTCTTCTTTGAATGTTCAGTAAAATTCCTCCATGAAGCCGTCCAGGCCTGGGCTTTTGTTTGCTGGGAGAGTCTTGATTACGCCTTCAATTTCTTTTGTTGTTATTGATTTGTTCAAGTTTTCTATCTCTTCCCGGTCCAGTTTTGTGAGACTATGTGTTTTTAGAAATTTGTCCATTTTGCTTAGATTGTCGAATTTGTTGCCATATAATTGTTCATAATATTTGTTCGCAATGCTTTGTATTTCTATGGTGTCAGTTATTATTTCTCCTCTTTCATTTCTGATTTTTGTGTATTTGGGTTCTCTCTCTTTGTTTCTTGGTGAGTCTAGCTAACGGTCCATCAATCTTGTTTATCTTTTCAAAGAACCAGCTCTTTGTTTCATTGATCCTTTGAATTGTTTTTTTTTTTTTTTTTTTTTTTTGGTCTCCATGTCATTTATTTCTGCTCTGATCTTTACTATTTCCTTCCTTCATCTTGCTCTGGGTTTTTTTGTTTGTTTGCTTTCTAGTGCTTTAAGTTGTGAGGTTAGATAGCCTATTAGAAATTTTTGTTGCTTCTTGAGGTAGGCCTGTAGTGCTATGAACTTCCTTCTCAAAACTGCTTTGGCTGCATTCCATAGATTTTGTGCTATTGTGTGTACATTTTCATTGGTTTCCAGGAAGTTTTTAATTTCTTCCTTGATCTCCATGATAACCCATTCATTGTTCAGTAACATGCTATTTAGCCTCCATGTTTTCAAATGTCTTTGTATGTACTTGTTGCAATTGATTTCTAGTTGCATGCCATTGTGATCTGAGAAGATGCTTGATATGATTTCAGTCTTCTTGAACTTGTAGAGACTTAGTTTGTGCCCTAACATGTGATCTGTCTTTGAGAATGTCCCATCTGCACTTGAAAAGAATGTGACTTTTGCGGTTTTGATGTGTAATTCTCTGTAGATATCTATTAAATCCATTTGATCTAGCACTTCATTTAAAGTCTGTGTTTGCTTGTTAATTTTTTGTCTAGAAGATCTATCCAGTGATGTCAGCAAGGTGTTGAAGTCCCCTGCTATGATTATATTGCTGTTTATTTCTCCTTTGAAGTCCTCCAGAAAAAATTTTAATACATGTTGGTGCTCCTATATTAGGTGCATATATGTTTACCAAGATTATAGCTTCCTGTGTGATAGATCTTTTCAATACTATGTAGTGGTCTTCTTTGTCTCTAGTTATGGCCTTCATTTTGAAATCTACTTTATCAGATATTGCTACCCCAGCTTTTTTTTTCCTTTCCATTTGTTTGAAAGATTTTTTCCCCATCCCTTTTCTTTCAACCTATGTGAGTCTTTTGTTGTGAGGTGGGTCTCTTGTAAATAACATATAGATGAGTCATGTTTTCTTATCCAGTCAGCTACTCTGTGTCTTTTTATTGGAGCATTCAATCCATTTACATTTAAGGTGATAATTGATATGTACTTATTTATTGCCATTTTTGTTTAGTGTGGTCCTATTTTTCTTCCTGTTTCTTCTACTAATTACAGCAGTCCTTTTAGCATATCTTGCAGTCCTGGTTTAGTGGTAATATATTCTCTTAACCTTTTTTTGTCTGGGAAGCCCTTTATTTGACCTTCTATTTTGAATGATAGCCTTGCTCGGTAGAGTAGTCTTGGAATCAGATCCTCGTTTTTTATGACCTTGATTACTTCATGCCATTCCCTTCTGGCCTATAGTGTTTCTGTTGAGAAGTCAGCTGAGAGCCTTATGAGGTTTCCTTTGTAGGTAACTTGTTGCTTATCTCTTGTTGCCTTTAGGATTCTCTCTTTGTCTTTAATTTTTGGCATTTTAATTACTATGTGTCTTGGTGTGGGCCTGTTTGGGTTCTTCTTACTTGGGGCTCTCTGTGCTTCTTGAACTTGAATGCCTTCTTCCTTCACCAAGTTAGGAAAGTTTTCTGTCACTATTTCTTCAAATATATTCTCTAACCCTTGCCCATTTTCTTCTTCTTTGGGGACTCCTGTGATGCAAATGTTATCATGTTTCCAGCAAAACATGAGTGCCCTCCAAATCACAAGCGTCCCCACGGAGTTCCAGCCCAGTCTGCCCTCCCTCTGCTGTAGCCCCCAGATGAGTGGCTGTGGTTATTTTAGCACTCTCTCCTGGCTCTCTGGGCTGTGGAGCAGGCATGGTCTTTATTCCCCAAGGGCACTGCTCACAGCTAAGTCTGCTGCTGTTGTGGGCTCCCAGCCCACCACCCTCTTGCACCTCAGCAGATCCTACCAGCATCCC